CCCTTGGCACAACCGCTGGAAAAAAAAAAAAAAAAAGTCCCTTAAATAAAAAAAAAAACACCACACACACAGAGATTTCTGAAGCGAGACGGAGAGGAGGATGAGACAGTCTCCTGAAGGCACTGGTGACACCGCTCTGCAAATACCAAGTTGGAGACCCGAGGTGGAAGGAGGGAGCCAAGATGTCCGTGCCGCCTTCCCTCTGACTCGCTGCACGGTAAGTTTTGCTGCTGGCGTCGGCTCGGCCGTGCAGGGTCTGGGGAAGGGACCACAGCCACCCCGGGGACACCCCACTGAACCCAGGACCACCATTGGCTGAGAGATATTGGGTGCAGGAGGGGACCCCCAGCTTTTCTAACCCCATGGAAAGGGTTACCAGCAAGGACCGGGTCCCTGGGGAGCATCGGGGTGGTGGCGATGGGGACCCACCAAGTTCAGCAGTGGGGTCTATGGCGTGGTGGGGCTGGGGGCTTGCATTGTGTGTGTCGTCCCCACCTCAATTGCAATCTCCTTCCTTGCTGAAAACCCCTGGAGATGGCTGGTTTGGTGGCTCCCCAGCGACTGGGACAAGTTGGAAACCAGGGCATGGTCCGAGTCCTCCTCCATGGTGAGGCTGGTGGATTTTGCCATCAGCTGGGAGCAGCGGTGTGGGGGGTTAATCACCACTCTTAGGGCTGGGGAGGGGATTTTTCTGCTCTGGCTGGGGAGTAACTGGGAAGAGTCTGGCCGGGTTTCGGGACGATCACTTGTTGCTCCCTCTGCCCCCTCCTCCACCTCCCTGAGATTTGCAGGAGCAGCCCTCGGCGAGGTTTTGTCAGACATAATGGGATGGAGCGCGGTGGCCTGGCAGGGCGTAGCTACCTTTGATTTTTGAAGCAGGCACTGCGTGCGTGCCGAGCAGAGCAGGTTTCCACCTGCTCAGGTCTGGCCCTTCCAGCTCACGTTAACACCGAGGAGGAAGGGGGGGGAAAATAAAAAAAAAAAACAAAAAAAAAAAAAGAAGACAATCCCAAAAAAATCATCACCTAGAACTTCTTCAGAGCCTTTTATAACAGCTCGGGGCTAATTGTTAAAATAATACTGTCAGCCTACACCCTTCCCAGCCCAAGTGCTTGTGCAAGCCCCAGCCAGAGCTCCACGGTGCGATGGGCATCACCCCAGCCCTACAGCCTTGCACCCTCATCAGTCCAGGAGGACTGACACCTCTCCCACAGCCAGCACCTGCCTGGGGTGATGAAGACCCCTCCCTATTTTCCTCGGGATGCTCCCTGCTTTATTCGGCACGGCTCAGCCCTTCAGAGCTTTCCTACATCAGGAATCGCAGTAAAATGGACAAAACCCAAGAGCCTTGTTCCCAGCGAGGAGCCGTGTCCAGCTGATGGCTTTGTCTGTGCCTTCCCTGTATCCCATGCACACCCTACTTTTTTTTTTTTGTGGGGAAAAAAGCCTGGTTTTGGCAGCTGGGGTGGTTTTTTCTCTCCCGCCAGCCATCATTTCAGCAACGTTAGGGCTGTCGCTGTTATTTGCATCTCCCATCCCCTCCGCCTTCCAGCCCCCTTTGCAGTGGTACCTCTACACGGGGGGGGGATCTGTACGACACACACACAAAAAAATAAAGCAGAATGGGAGGGAGACGGTTTCTCCCAAGCTCTGGGCTCGGAATAGCTCCGCAGCCATTAGGTGTTTGCAAAATGTAGCAGAGACACTGCAGGGGAAAAAAGGAAAAAAAAGATAATCATAAAAAAAAAAATATTAAAATAATCAGCCTCAGTGTAAGGTAGCCTTTTTTTTGGAGGGAAGGGAGGAGGGGGTGTCTGCAACCAGCTCGCCTTAAATAATATTAAATAACAAAGTGCAGCTCAGCCCTGGGAGGAGGCAGGTCTGAGTACAGAGCTTGTGTGATCCTTGCTGGGGCGGCCAGTCAAGGCGGGTAATTAGATGGGACAGGGAGCATGTAAAGGGGATTAGGGGATTGCCCGGGGGGGTGACCCTTCTCCCCCCATCCCCTCCATCACTTTAACGTGGAGCCCTGGGGTCTCCTGTGGGAGCTGAGCCTGGAGTTTGTCTCTGCTGAGGGGGTGAGCTCAGCGTTGGGCAGGATGAAGCCCAGCAAAGCCAGAAAGAGGGTGGTTTGGGTTTTTCTTGTTGGTTTTGTTTTTGTTTTTTTTTTTTCTGAAAATATACCCTTCTGCTTTCCACGCTGCATTTAGGGAAAAATAACTCCCTGCGCCGGTCTCCTGGGAAGAGAGCATTTCTCAGCCTGACCTGGCTCATTCCCAAGCAGCCCCAACCCTTCATATTACCCTGGTTCCATGGGCACAGAGGTCCCTGCCTGCTCTGTCTGCTCTTCCCCTGCTGAAACACGGCTGTGCTCGGTGTGGCAGCAGGGAAAATAGGGGAAGGAACTGGCTCTGCCAAGCCACAGGTCCTTCAGAGGCATATCCTGGGACAGGTTAGGTGTGTTACTTCCAGGATTACGTCCCATAACCTGCTAGGACCTTGGGGCAGCGTGTGGAGAAGCAACACTAATCATCATCATCATCACCACCATTATCATCATCATCCTCACCCATGGCTCCCTTTGCATCTCAGGAGACCTTACCAGAAGATGACCAGGGTGGATGAAGTGTCTTCACCAAGAGGTTATAAACTTGCTTTTCCTGCTGCTGCTTAATCCCTTTCCCTCTAAGAGTAATTATACCTGCCTTTGGCTGATGGGCTGAGAGCATTGACTCCCCACCACCACCCTCCAGCTTCCCAGTTTGCAAATGCTGCCCGCTCACTGGAAGACTGGTTTGTGGGAATGCCAGACATCTGGCAATGCCCATCTTCAGGCAAGATTTCCACCCAGCTGCTGGAAATCTGCTGATGGATGGGAGCTGAGCTGATCTGAAAATGATGCTGCCAGGGTCCATCTCTAAAGCAAGCAGCAACCTCCATCCTGCTTCCTTGCAAGGAGCCTGCTTGCTTTTGTGCAGGGAAGGCAGGAGGGATAAGATGTAGGTAGACAGGAAGGGACGGACGGATTTTTTGAAGCAGGTTCTGACTCTACTAGTGATGCTGGAGAAATAGCTTAGGGGCAAGGAGTGCAAACTGGTCCCCTGTCAAGGCTGGTGGATTGGCTGTAGTCACCCACTCCTCTCCCTTCTTCCCATCATTGCACTGTTTTGGGGTCCATCTGGGGGTCATTCGGGCAGAAGGATGTGCCAGGATGAACCCTCATCCTGCTTCAGGTCATACCTGAATGGAAAACCCCTCTTCTTTCCCCCGTCCATCTGTGAATGCCATGTCCACATCCATGCTGCTTCCCTGCTGCTGCACTTAACATCCAAGCTGTCCGGGAGGTCTTCTGGGGGATTGTCTGTGGCAATAAATGGACAGGAATCTCCAGGTGCCCTCAAGATCCCATTAAGATGTACCCCTATCTCAACCCACTGCGTGGGGCAGCTCCGTGACCACCTTTCCAAGGGCATTCCATTGTGGAGCAATCCACAGGGACAGGAATTTGGTTTCCTCCCTGACCTTTATCATGTATTAGGCTGGAAATTGGGGCTGTGCATGTGTGAAGGGACAGGGTTAATGTGGGCAGCCCTGCAAGGAGGTCTGAAGGAAGAGTCACCAGACCTGGACCTGCACTCATGATGCCCAGCTTGGTCACTTCAGTGTCTTCATCTAGTCCCTGGAAGAAGCTAATAGCCCACACAAGTGTGGCCAGTAGGTCCCCATGGGCACTGTGTCCAGTGGGCACTAACTGAGGTCTGGGAGCTTCACCCTTCCATCCCACACCAACCCCTTCCATCCCACACCAACCATGCTGAGCAGGCAGAGAGCATCAGACCCTGATGAGACCAATTTCAGCAGGGACCTCTACCCTGGAGGGAATCCTGGCGTCAGGGTCAGGCAGATCTTCAGGTTGCTGGTGTCTTCTCCTTTCTGGGGGAGGGAGGCTGAAGGTCATTTCAGGACAGGTGAGGAAAGCTTTGGGAAGCAGGTCAGTTTTCTGCAGGAGCAGATTTTGGTTGCTAAAGAAAGCGATCAGGTTGCCAAATACGCGATAATATAACCCAGGGAGATGGGGTCTCCTCTGAGTCGGTGGGGTGGCCAGGGGACTGATGTGCTCTCCATCTCTGTAGGAGCCTGTACTGCTCGGGGGGGCTGTGGTAGGGGACCCCAGGGTGAGGAAGAGCTCAAGCTCCCCAAAGCCCACACAGCACAGCAGCTCCTCTCCTGAGTGAGGTCATTTTTGGCAGGGGGAAAGGAGTTATTGATGTGCAGCCTCCATGATGGAACCCGCAGGCTCCAGGGTGTCATGCTGTTGGCCTGGATGGGTCTTTCCTTTCTCCGTGTCTCCACTGCCTGGAGGATGGTCGGGAGCCTCCATCCACCGCTGTGCAGCAGCCAGAGTCCTCCCTTTACTCCATTGCTATGGCAACCCCCTTGCTCAGGCATCTCCTCCTCGCTGCCCCACTGCCAACCTGCTGCAGACCTCTGCGGGGGGTGGTGGTGGTCAGCCACCCCCACCCCATCCCTGTCTTATAGCTGTGCTGAGCAGGAAAGCAGAAGACAGCTCTCCCTGCATCGGGTGTGCACGCCGGGCATCATCCCCCCCACCTTGAGGTTTCTTCAGACCACTGTTTTGGGCTCAGGGTCCTCCTCAAGCCCTGGGTACCTGCAGAGCTCGATGATGCAGGTGCAACTTACTCTAGGGGTTTCTTTTGTAGGATCAAGGGTGCCTGCATGGTCTGCAGGGTGACACCAGTGCATCCCAGGCTCCGTGGGTGGTAGAGTGTGTCCCTGCACTGATTATAGTTGGAGCATGGGGACCCAGACAAGGTGGAGAAATCTGAAGATACCAGAGGTGAGCCTCTGTACATCCCTGAAGATCCTCAGAGCTTTTTTTCCTGAAGGCCAGTGACATGAACTGCCTACTCAGGGAGAGGGAAACTGAGGCATAAAGCGGGCTGAAGTGCTTTTTGAAGGTCATTAACAGGCTGAACCATTACTTCTGCTGTGTTTACACCACTCCAGAAGTGTCATCCACAGGCTTTGTGGGCACCTCTTCATCCTGCAGAAGGACATCCCTCAGCCTGGGCTTTGTCTCATGCTGAGGCTCTTTTTCCTTCTCAGAGACCAGACAAGCAGAGTAATATAGATTCTTGCAATCACTGCTGATCCTCCGCAACAAAAAATGGCATTACAATAACCTGAATTTCACCAGGAACAGTGAAGGGAGCAGAATAACGTTCTGCACACCTCCGTCCTGGCTGATAGTTTTATTTATTCTGCTTTTAACCCTCTCATTTCTATCCCGAGTGCTTCTCCCTTCTTTTTATTTTTTTCCTTTCTTCTCCTTGACCTCTCTTTCCCCAACGTGTGACCTTCCAAAGCACCGTGTGCCCTTATTTACAGCCCTGAATTGAACAGGCTGGACCTGTGCCTCCTTGGTCCAGCACGTACTGACCAACGCTGCTTCGTGAATGCCTCATGTCCAAAGCTGGCCAGGGCACAGAGAGGTGCTGGGGAAGGTAGAGGCGTATAAAACTCCTCAAGCACCTAAAACTCCCGCAGGGTAAAAGGCTGGGCCTGGCATCATTTTTTGCAACCTGCCTTTTGACTGGGAAGAGCATCTGAATTTATTGTTCTCCATCATCGGTGTTGATACAGCAAAGCTTTTCTCACGCCCCTGTATGCCTCCTCTTGCCTCCTTACCCCATCACACCTGGTTCATCAGGGGACAAACCAGGACAATCCCCTGCTCTGATGCACAGGCAGGACTCTGAGGGTGTGTGGTGGGGACCATCTGCCTCAGGGTTGGAGGAGTGGCCGCATTGGGAAGCTGTGGTGACAAATTGTGCCGCTGGACCCAATTTCTTAGAGCACAGGACAACCCATGAGCTTCACAAGGTGTGTCTGGCGTGGGAAGAGAGCAGGAGTTGCATTGCTGACCTGCAACCATGCAAAAACCAAGCCTCAGGGCATGTCAGCGCCCTGAGTCTCGGCGTGGTAGGACTTCACATCCAACCCAGTTTGACAGTCCTGTTATTTCTCCACCCTGGTCGTGTGTTTCTGCTAATCCCTTTGCATTAGAGCTTGCAGGGTCAGTTAAGCTGTCTTCTCCGATTGAGGGGTCATCCTGCCCTTCTACTCTGCCCTAGAGAAGACCCATCTGGAGCACTGGGTCTAGTTCTGGGCTCCCCAGTTCCAGAAGGACAGGGAACTGCTGGAGAGGGGACAGCAGAGGCTACAAAGGGGATGAGGGGCCTGGAGCATCTCTTTGATGAGGAGAGGCTGAGGGACTTGGGTCTTTTTAGTCTGGAGAAGAGAAGACTGAGGGGGGATCTGATCAATGCTTATAAATGCTTCAAGAGACGGTGTCAGGAGGATGGGGCCAGTCTTTTTTCAGTGGTGCCCAGGGACAGGACAAGAGGAAATAGGCACAAAGTTGAATGTAAGAAGTTCCACCTAAACATGAGGAGGAAATTCTTTTCTGTGAGGGTGGCAGAGCCCTGGAAGAGGCTGCCCAGAGAGGTGGTAGAGTCTCCTTCTCTGGAGACATTCAAGCCCCACCTGGACATGTCCCTGTGCAACCTGCTCTGGGTGGACCTGCTCTAGCAGGGGGTTGGACTAGATGATCTCCAGAGGTCCCTTCCAACCCCGTGTGATTCTGCAATACCTAACCCAACAAAGAAAGTGAAGGGGTTCCTGTTGTCTGGGTGACCTGATGTGTCCTGTGCCTTCAGTATTGATAGGATTTGTGCAAGCGAAGGGGGAAACACCTGAGCAATGGGTCTTAGTGAGCTGAGAGCAGACCCTCACCCCATTTTAGTGCTGTAACCACTAATTAGGCACAGCATGAACCCCCTGAGACTGGCAGGTGTGATAATGAAGACGAATCAAGGGTTAATCACTTAAATGCCCTTGTGCAGACCAGCCTGGGGGGAAATTGAGCCTGAGAGATGTCTGTTGGTTTGAGCCTAGAGGCCAGGTTTGTTCCTGGGAATTAGGGAGCTCCTGGGCAGGTTTGTATTACAGCCTTCCACACCAACATTTTTTACACTCTTACCGCTTTCAGATCTCTTCTTCTATAGCTCGTCTTCAATCTTTAAGGCCAAGATATTGATAGGAAATGAGAGGTGGCTCATTTCTGTTGTTTTTTTGGGGTTTGGATGGGCTGGGGAACAGATGTGCCTGCTTAGGAGTGTCCCTACAGAGAGAAACGAGGAATTTCACCTTGCACCTGGGAGGAGGTGAAGGGTGGGTTGGATCAGTGTTGTTTTCAGGGCAGAAAAATCAAATCCCTCCCCAGTGACGGGGAGGGGAGGATGGCAGTGGGGCTGTGGCAAAGGGGATGCTCCAAACTGCTGCTGTGCTTCCAGGGTCCAGTGCTGTAAATGTTAATCAGGCTCTACCCAGGGCACAAATAGTGAGAATGTTTTCCACCCCGAGGATTTTATACACACTGAAAACACAAGGCAAAGGAGTTTATGGAGTCTCTGCTTTGTTGCTGTGGTATCCAGAAAAGTCAGCCTTACCATAAAAATAATGTCTTTGTAAGGGGTTATCAAAGCCAGCAGCTACAGTTCAGAGCCACAGCAGATGCTATTGGGCTGCTGGTTTTGGCCACCCCGAGCAATCTCCAGCTCAATGGATGGAAAAAAAGGCCTTGGAGGTGAGATCTTTAAAGTCATTAGCTGTTTTCCTTTATTGATTTCAGCAGGCTGGAGCTGGAGGCAAGTGAAAATCATCGGCATGACCTCAGCTCTGCAGAGGGTCCATGCAAGAGCTTGTGCAGGACCTGACTCCAACAGGGCACCCTTCTGCTTTCCCCTTCATATGGTCTATTTTTTTTCCAACAGAAGAAGGAAAATTGTTGCTGCTCCAGGCACGAGAGCCGTTGGCTTCGACCTGATGTAGTATCTGTGCGTGCTCCCGCTCACCGTCAAACTCTCATTAACACAAATAAGAGCAGGAACAAGACCACAACATGACTAATTCTCCACCCCCAGACTGTCTGTGTGTATATTATCAACTCCTCGTTGTGTGCCTGCACACAATTGTGGGATAAATCTTGCTCTCTGTTGCCGTTTATTTTAAATTGAATCTTCTTACTGAAAAGGTTCGAGAGGCGTAATTATGGTCTGGATTTCAGAGCTGCACAAGTCTTTGTGGGCACAAATAGCAGGGGAAAGAATGGCTGAGTAATTCGTATTGCTGTGGTTTAGTGCATCCACTAAGAAAGCTGCATACGTCCTGGCTGGTCTTTCTGGGCACGTTACCAGGCAGGCAAAAGAAGCATTTTGTTTTGTGTTTGACGTGGTAGAGGAGAGCTCTGGATCTATTCCTAGCTCAGCCCTAGATGAGCATACGACCTTGAGAAAGTCTCTTATCTGATCCTACAGGCAAATGAATGCAGAAGCTGCCTGAGCTTAACTCTTGCAGAGTTGTTTGAGTCCTCCCTCCCTCCAAGTCCCACAGTTTGGTAGACCAGCTTTGGGCACAGCTTCCCAGAGTCCACATGTGGTGACAGGAGGAGAAGTGGGGAGGAAGCTCCTGACTCCTCTCTGCTAGTCCTCCACCAGGGTGTTTTCAAGGGGACCATTGGGACCATTCCCAGTGGGCAGACTGGATGTGGTGGCCAGTGGTGGAAACCACAAGTCCAAGTGTCCCTGAGGGCTGGCATCTGAACCCAGACCTTGCCAACACCTTGGGGCAGTTACTCCCACACTTGGCTGGGGACCATGCTCCTGCCCTGAGCCTGCTGGACAGGAGGGAGATGATTCTTATGGCTGCAGACTGTCATCTTTAGCAAACCCAGACCATTTTTTAGCAAAACTTTTCCCTTTTTTAGGAAAAAAACAAAACAAAACACACTTTCCCCAGCTCTCCTTTTGGCTCAAGTTCTTGGGAGAAGTTTGATTGTCTTACTTCACCTGGTCCTGTTTTGCCTAAGTGGAAAGATGTAGGTTTGCCAGCCAGCAAAACAGTGCCTGCAGGCACTCCAACCCCCAGCAACAGCCATTATTGTCTCCAGAGGACATTGGGTTGTGTGATACAGCCCCCAGAAGGGTCTGTGAACATGTCCTGGTCTCCTTGGCAACCCTTTCACAGCCCCTTGAGTTAAGACCGGAGATGTAGGTAACCAGAGCTTCCCTAAAAGCCTGAACCTGTCTGTTCCTGCCCCAAAAGCAGTCAGATAGCTGAGGTAAGGTAACACCCCCCAGGAGCACCTTGGCACCGTGCCTCTCCCCAAGCCCTCGCTCCCTCTGCTGCAGCAAGAGCCCTCTCTCCCTTCTCGCTCACTTTTCCTTCTCGCACTGGAAACCAACTCTCTGTTTTTCTTCTAGGTGTTCATCCAGAGCCAGAGTGGTGCTTGAGCAGGAGCCACCACCACCACCACGGCTGTCCTCTGAGGGACTGTGTTGTTCACACCTCAGGAGCTGGTCCAGTCCTGAGGGTTTCCCACCTCCATCCCTTTGCCATTTTCAGCCCATCCCTATGCTGTTTGACTCCCAGAGAGGATGTCTCTACCCAAAATCCAAATAGAAGAGGCTCTGGACAGTGCAGATACTGGCTCTGGAGGTGCTGCTCCTCCTGATGACCACCTGAGGAGCCTCAAAGCTTTGACAGAGAAACTGAGACTGGAGACCAGGCGCCCATCCTACTTGGAGTGGAAGGCAAAGCTGGAGGAGCAGGCATGGAAAAGCCCACAGCCAGCAGGAGAGGAGGAGGCAACCGAGGCCAAAAAGGACATGGGGGAGACTGTTCCCTTGAGGAATGTGCAGCTGCATCTCAATGGGAACCCTGCCCAGGACAAGGTGACTCTTACCTCAGGGAGAATAGGTGGCTTTGAGAGCATCGATGAAGCTTTGACATGGCTCAGGAAGGAACTGGTAAGTGGTTTCCTGTCCCTGTTAAATAGCCCACTTTTTCAAGAGGGAAAAAAAAAAAAAAAAAAAGAAAAAGAATGAGGAAACAAGCAACTCCTTGTTCCTACCTGCTTTCAGCCCCAGGTGAAAAGGCAACAATCAATCATTGCAGTTTCTGTGGCTGGTGGGAGCAGAAGCAGCCCAGGGAAGGGAAAAGATGAATGCAAGAGTATCCATCTTCTCAGAGAAGGAGCTGGGGGAGTCTCAGCATCCCTGCTGGGATCCAGTGGGCTGGGGAAATATCGTCGCTTGCACTGGTTAGGACTCTTAGCAATTTGCCCCATTCCCTGCTTCTCTAATTAAATCTCAACACTCAGATGAATACCTCAGGTATGGATACACCATGAACATGTAGGCACTGTGACTGCAATAACCCTTCTCTGCCAAGCATCTCAAAGGGCTGTAGGAAGGAAGCATGCCTAGATCCATCCCCTGGATCTGCCCTTGTGGCTGTTGGTGCTTTGGGTACTCCCCCAGTGGGAGATTTCATGCTGATCACTCCATTTAACAGTCGTTAGCGGATATAACGACTGTCAGAAACTACAAATATTTGCCTAATTCCCCCTTTTTTCTTTTTCTTTTTTTCCCCCTTTTTCCCCAACTCATAACTCTTTATAAGTTCTTGTGGGAACCTACTTCCCCCAAGTCATGTCTGCACCGAATGGGACCAATTACTTTGTTTCAAGCTGCTGTGGAAACCCCATGTTTTAACCATGTAATATCTACCCAATAATATTCCTTTTTCTGTTGGATGCATGATGCCAGAACCTTATCTCCAACCCCTCCTTATCCAGCTCTTAGAGTTTCATCAGCTGTTGGCTCGTGCTTCATTAGAAGCTGGTCTACATTCCTATCCTCTTCCCATCCCAACCTTGGGCCTTATCTTACACATATCTTTATTTCTGGTAGTTATGAACTGGTTTCACAGAGAGGAAGACAAGACAAAAATGCTACACTTAAGCTAGGAAAATACAGAGAGCCAGGGCAAGGGTGCTGGAAGCTCATCTTTTACAAGGTTTCACAGAGAGGAAGACAAGACAAAAATGTTACACTTATGCTAGGAAAATACAGAGAGTCCAGGGCATGGGTGCTGGAAGCTCATCTTTTATAAATTGTGTTGCTATGGTGGTCTTTGGCATAAATTTGGACTGGGCCAACTAGTGGCAACCCAAGCAACTCCAAACTCAGCTTGGGAGTCAACACAGCTTAGGGATAATTCTCAGGAGGCAGCATGGATCCAGCACATGTTTTCTGGAGGCCACAGGAGGTCAGTAGGAGCGACATGACTGGATCGGGTCAGCTGTTTTCAGGGCTGGAGAATGGGTTTTGGTGTTCTTCACAAGTCTAAGAGAGGTCAGACATCAAGACCACACTGCCCAGTGATCCTTCCCTTCTCCTCACTGGAATGAAAATCTTTATTATTTGGCTCTTATGACTGGAAACAATTCATGTCATGTGGCTTTGTTTCTGCTGCCTAACTGGAAGTCTGCCAGTGAGTCCCACCAGCATTTGTGACTGTATTGACAGCAGCAATGTTTGCAACAGGGTCCCAGAGGGCTGGGACATCACTTGTGGTTCAGATGCACTTGTGAAAATGTTCCTAGGAAAATGCTTTGCTTTTGATAAGCTCTGAAAGTCTTTGAGGAAAATTTCTCGTGCACAACAATGAATCAATCTGGGGCCCTTGATATAAGAAGAACGTGGACCTTTTGGAGTTGGACCAGAGAAGGCCATGGAGATTCTGGGAGGGCTGGAGCCCCTCTGCTGGGAGGGGGGGCTGAGAGAGTTGGGAGGTTCAGCCTGGAGAAGAGAAGGCTCCGGGGACACCAGAAAGCCAGGGAGTGACTCTTGATCAGGGAGGGGAGCCCTAGGACGAGGGGAAAGGGTTTTAAACCAAAGGAGGAGGGGGAAGGGTTTTAAACTGAAAGAGGAGGGATTTACATGAGATGTGGGGAAGAACTTCTTTGCTGTGAGGGTGGTGAGAGCCTGGCCCAGGTTGCCCAGAGAAGCTGTGGCTGCCCCATCCCTGGAGGGGTTCAAGGCCAGGTTGGATGTGGCTTTGAGCAACCTGGTCTGGTGGGAGGTGTCCCTGCCCATGGCAGGGGGATTGGAACTGGATGATCTTTAAGGTCCCTTCCAACCAAAACCATTCTATGATTTGATGATTATAGTTTTTTTAAATTCTCTGTGACCTTTTTTTCAGATAACGTTTATTTGTTAACTTTTTGTTGTACTGCTGTATTCACCCCGCTAGATTGATCTCTAGAGAAGTTACTCACAGAAGTTGTACTGGATGTCAGAGTTTTGGAGGTTAAGACATTTCTCAGGACCATGGCTTTCACAAGGCAAGCACAGTGCTTTCAGGAATCCAGGACTCTTCCAAAGAGGTTTTGAGCTGATCTCCTAAAATCACTCAACACTCTGGAGAATCTTACCTCCAGATTTGATACCTGAATTTAGGTCCTTGCTTGCCTCTGTGATGCAGTCTTATATTCACAAGTCTCAAGATGCCTGAAGATGGTAAGAAGCAGATTTTCCTTCTCAGAGGCCTAGATTTTAAAAGGTTTGTTTTTTTTATTTTAATTTCTGCCCACGATGGAAGTATAAATTGTCTCAGAATTTGGTTCTACCCTTTAGACTAGGGTGTGGTATATAAACCACCATCTGATGAAAACTAAAACTTTAAATTAAAGAAGAAAAATGGCAAAGCAAACCCTAATTGTTCCTCACTTTCCATTTTCCTGCCTCTTAATTATACCAGTCTTTTCTGGATCTGGACGTGACTCATGTAATTTAGAACAATTTCCCCAAAAGAGAGAGCTTGTGTTTGACTGACCACACAGCTAAATAGCTATGTCGGAGGGACTATTGTTGGGTAAGAGCTGCCAGCAAACAGTGAGAACCCAGCGAGGCCATCGCATCACAGGATGCTGGCACAAAAAGAGGCATTTCATATTACATCTCAAGGGTGAAACCCAGATTCTTTTCCAATAAAGGAACAAGCTTCCACACATCCCGACACAGGCAGGATTTTTTCCTTGTTTATCCCCATGTTGTGGTACTAAAGCAGTTGGGAAGGCTTCAGAGCAGGATATGGTTATGCCTAAGGTTATATATTTACTTAAGGCAGGAGCCAAGACCTCAGAGGGCAGCATCCCTCCAACAGCAGCCAGGCAAGGGGCCAGAACTCCACACTTTGGGTAAGGTCACCTTTAGAATCATTCAGGTTGGAAAAGAACCTTGGGATCATCGAGTCCAACCATCAACCCTACTCTACAAAGTTCTCCCCTACACCATATCCCCCAACACCACAGCTAAACGACTCTTAAACACATTCAGGGATGGTGGCTCTTGTGGGCAATCAATCCTTCTGGTCTAGTTTAATGCAGGAGACCATAGACATGGGAACACCACTCAAGCCAGCCTTGCCCCAGTATCCCAGGCAGCTTTCTGAAGATCACCCAAAAATGATCTAGTAGTCAAAGCTGGAGTGAAATCTGCCTCCACCATGCTGTCCTCTGCTGCAGAGTGAATTCTCCTTCACGAGAAGTCAGTTTAGGATAAGTAGGGTTCATCTATCCAATGAAAGGGCAAAAGCCCATGTCTTTACTGGATGAAATGCAATGATTCAGGCTGTGCAGCTCCATCACCCACCGCTGTGCAACCCTCATCACAGCTACCAGTCTGTTTAGGCTGGGTTATTTCAATAGCATGGCCCCAGCGTGGTCTTGGCTTGTACCAGTTAGCACCCTGCCAAACAGTTAGAGCTTCAAGAGTTTCCCAACGGGCAATTTGTACAGGACCACCCAATTTTGGAATTAACTCTATCGCAGCCAAAACCAGTAGAGGCAGCAAACTGAATTTAATAGGGTGTTTATGCCCAAGCTTCCCCTTGACCATGGTGTTACAGAATGGACCATGGTGTGGGTTAGTTGCCTCATGAAGTGATAGTCCAGGAATGTCCAGGTTTAAAACTGAGGTTACTAGTTAAATCTGGAGCATTACTTCCAGTTCACACAAAAGGGGTCATCTAATGCTGCAAGGAATTTGCCTTCATATCCTTGGTTCAGGTTCAGCCAGGTCCTGGCTCCTGGTGTTGAGAAGTGAAGGACAAACCCAAGGTTTTGCTGTGCATCTGCTCTTCTTGATCTTTCACCCCACATGACCTGTCCCAAGACCTGATTTCTGCATATCAAGTCCTGGCCCTGGTTGATAGGACTGACATATGCCCACTGAGCTCCAGCCAGCCACGTCAGCTGGGACCTGCTGGGAATCTGGCCCCGAGAAGCTGATTTATTCAGACATGCAAACTCCTGCTCTTGTTTTTGCGCCGAGAGAGGCTCTGTGTAGGTGTACGAGCAAATTGCAGCACTCAGCATGTGCTGAACCGCCCCGAGGCTGGAACATTTCCCTCCCCAACCCCTCCTGCCTCTTCTTCGCCCTTGTGTTTGCCTTTGCGCTGCCAAGTGTGGCTGTTCTTCATCAACGCTGAAAGTGAAGCCATCAACAGCCAGGGCATGGTGACAGACCCAAAGACCAGAGTGGTCAGGCTGTGTTTTCCTCTTTGTTTCTGAAATTTGTCAGGACAAATGTTTACAAAGTTCTAAAACTGAGCCCTCAAAGCCTTCTTCCTCCTAAATGTGATTGAAGAACAGAACTCTGCTATGAACTGGGACATCTTAGGACAGTTCTGACTTTGTCCCAGGAGGAAAATACATTTTCCGTCTCAAATTCACCAATGTTTGGCACTGAAGTCTGAGGTGTGTGAGCCAGAATGCAGGAAAGGCTCTTGAAAAGGACACAAATGTCTGATGCTCTGTCCTGGGAAGTCGTAAAACACCCATGTCCAGTTGGTCAGATGTCTATTATTAAATATTAACTGCTATTATCTCCATTTTGGATACTGCGATTGGCTGAACAAATACTTAAGTGAGTAAGTATTTATTATGAAATACTTACAACAATGTGATGCCAAATCAATGTTGACATGAGCCTCGTTGTAGATCGTTCCGTGGTTGTTGGGAGGTGGCGAGGAGGAGGAGATCATGGATATGGTGATGGAGTGCACTGGGAGTCCTCTGCTACATAGCAGGTCCAAGAAGGATTTTCCTGTATTTGTATTTAAAGCAGTGAAAGGACGAAGGCAGAGGCATCAGAGCATGGTCATCTATACTGTTAAATTGCCAGAACCTGGGCACAGTTTAGGAGTTATCGCAGAACAGGACTATGCCCGAGGGACATTTTGGGTGCAGCAACCCTGTTTTGGAGAGGGAGTTTCTTGGGGTGGTTGTGGATTTCTGTGCACAGCAGAGATGTAAGTGCAGAAACATCTGAGAAATGATCTGCTCTTCTCCTGTGTAAGCCTGTGTGTCAGCGCACTGAGATGTCCCTTTGTTTGCCTCATTCAGATGCTGAAGTGCCAGGCTTTTCCTTTGGAAGTGGACTTTGTCCTAAGTACCCCTGTGCCATCTCCTCCCTGTGCACATCATCCTTTAGTCTACCATTGTTGGGCTTTGTTCCTCACCCATCTGCTTTTCTTTCCTGGAGGACAGAAGAGGGCTATATCCCTGTGGGAAAGCCTTGGCTGATGGTCCTCAAGCACCTCTGATAGGTCACCCTTACTTCCCTGTTCAGCCCCAGAGCACAGCCAGGCAGGATCTAAGGTGGTCTCACAGCCAAGGTGGCCAATGGAGATGGGTGGTGGGTTTGCCCCCTGCCACATTGCCTCCACCCTACAGGTGGGCCAGAGGGCCATGTGGCTGGCTTGGTAAACACCAGGGTCAGCAGGTCCTATTTAGGAAAGAAAGGTAACTGGAGATTGAGCACCTGAAGGACATGCCCTGGAGAGCTTTGTCTTCCCGCTTGCACAAAATCAAGACAGCTTCCTCAAAAGACAGGGAAAGCAAGAACTGGTCAGAAAGCAGAAAGCTGTCTTGCAAGGGAAACATAGCAATCTCCAACTCCCATCCCTCTCCACAATGGCCTCGTAATTAATTTTTAAACCCCTTTTCAGTCCCACATTCCTCAAAGCATTTAATGAAAGCATTTGTTGACATTTCTTTTGTAGCTTGATAAACTGACAAGAAACAGCAACCAAGGGTCAGTTCAATAAGGCCCACGATCGCCTTCCTGATAAAATGTCAAGTCCCAGCATTTGCTGTGAGACAGGGAAAAATATCAACAAAATTGGGTTTTTTTCATTGTATCTCAGGTGGGAGAAGAAAAACCTGCCAAGTGGCATTACTCTGCTGGGGCACAGGCTACGAGATCTGCAAGGAAATAGTGGGTTTTTTTGGAAAAAGGCTACAAGCCTGCCAACAATTCAAGAGAGGTTTCATGAGAAAGAGATTCACTCTGAGATTTGTACGAAGGTGACTCAATCCTCTCCAGGCAACCGCGCTGGAGTCCGACCGCTATCTGAGAGCACCAGGCAAGGTCCTCCAGGGTGCTTCCATGGTGCAGGAATGAGAAAAGCCTCACTTGGCTTGGATTAGCTTTTATTATACTCGTGTCAGCTCTCAGCTTGGGCTCTGGGCACAGCATTGCAAAGGGCTTCCCGACAGCCACAGAAACCAGCTGGAGAGGAGCCAGGCTTCATTCTGAGCCTTTCAACCTCCCGAAGTGGCTGCTTCGCTTTGCTGTGAGGCTAACAATGCTTCAAGGGGCAACCCCAACATCTTTGGAGGAGGAGGGATTGTGCCACAAGCTAGAGCATCCCTGAGGCTGCTCTGGTTGGCAGCCCATGCGTCAGGCATCGGAAAGTTCTCATGTAGAAATACCAGGGCCACCTGCGGAGCCTCCCGAGGGAAATTTTCCCTCCTCCCTTCCCTTCTGCAGTTTCATGTACGAGACACCAGATCAGGAATTAGTTTACCCACCCGCCTCCAGAGCTACATCTGTACTTGTGAACCAAACGGCTCGTTTGCAGGCCTGGAGGCCAACTGGTATGGTCTGGCCACCTCCACGCTGTTAAAATCCAGACAAAGTGGCTGTATCCCAAATGCCTCCTGAGGATGAATCTCTCTGTGTTAACTCCTGAAGAGTTCCTGTGGGGAATTGGTTAGGACTGTGTGAACTGGCCCCAGCTCAAAGGATTCCAGGACCTTGCCCTCAATGGAGTGAAGGGACTTCGTTGCAATGCACTATTTAAGGTATTGTTATAGATGTAGTCTGGGTCAGTTTCTCAGCTCCTTCAAGCCACAAGGAGCCAAGAAATCAGGGATGCAAATCAAAGGAGCAAGGTAAAGGATGGATTTGGGGTCAGGGCAGCTCCCCGGTGCAGCTGGAGATGAGCCCAGGGCATCGTCTCATGCCACTGAGAAGTCAGTGAGGACAGCACACCCCCAGGGAGCCACTGGGAGGGGAAAAAAACACCCAAACAAAATAAAATCAGGAGCCTTGGTACCAAGAGGCTCCTTCCAGTGCCAGTTTGTGTCCTGCGTTGGAGGCAACACCAGGGAAAGAGGAAGGATGCTGCATCGGGGCAGATGTAGGACTGTTCTCCAGCCAGCTTTGCTCCCTCCTTGTCTCCAGTAGTTACAGAGAGATTTAAGCCACAAGGTTTGCCAAGAGCTCTTCGGCTTCTCTCCCACCACTCCCTTCTCTTTGTGGCTTGTGGTTTGTTGCTTTTCTGTGAGGAGGGACGTGGAGCAAGAGTTGGGGATTGTCTTCTCGGCATCTGTCGTTCTAACTCTACTTGCTTCTGTTCCCCAGACAAAGGCTGATTCTTGCACCAAGCGTTCACCTCCTTCCTTCACCATCCCCAATATCCTGTGGCAATAAATTTTCTGCTTAATTACAAGTTGAAATTAAAAAAAAAAAAAAAAAAAGCTCTTTTCTTTCATCACTTCTGAATCTTCCACCTTCCAAAGTTAGGTGCCAGGGGAGGAGACACTTAGCTCAGTAGCCTGCGGGGTAATTGTTTTCCCTCCTGTGGGAAAATCTGGAGGTTCCATCCCAAAAGCCGCTTCAAATCAGTGAGATAAGCCACAGGGGATATGGAGGGTCGCATTCCCGGCTGTCATGAATCAGCTCTGATTTATGCAGGCTGGAAACCCAGGCCAAGTATCTGGGGATGGGTTCTCTGGGGTTTTTTTCATTGGTCGTTTCCACCTCTGTTGCTTTTCACCGTGGCTGCTCCCATGTGAGTAAAATTAATCTGGGTTTTGCTTAAGGTTGAGATGGAGGCTATGAAGCCTGCACTGATGGATACATAAGCCAACAAGCTTGGCATGGATGGTTTTAATTCCAGTTTCCTGGTGCTCCTAAAAACCTGAGCAGGCACATCCTGAACACTAAAAATTCACCATCCTGAGCTGGTGTTTGACTTGGATGCACCGCCGGCTTGGAAGACCCCCATCTCCCTCCCAGTTCTTTGTCCTGGGGTAGCATCTCTAAATGAAATACATTTCACAGAATCACAGAATGATGCGGGGTTGGAAAGGACTTCTGGAGATCATCTAGTCCAATCCCCCTTCCAGAGCAGGATCACCTAGAGCAGGTTGCACAGGAACATGTCCAGGTGAGGTTTGAATGTCTCCAGAGAAGGAGACTCCACCACCTCTCTGGGCAGCCTCTGCCAAGGCTCTGCCACCCTCACAGGAAAGAAGTTCTTCCTCATATTGAGATGGAACTTCCTATTTACAAGTTTATGCCCATTTCCTCTTGTCCTATCACTGGGCACCACTGAAAAAAGGCTGGCCCCATCCTCCTGACACCCAACTTTGAAGTATCTATAGGTGTTGATCAGATCCCCCTTCAGTCTTCTCTTCTCCAGACTAAAAAAGACCCAAGTCCCTCAGCCTCTCCTCATAAGAGAGATGTTCTAGTCCCCTCATCATCTTTGTAGCCCTCTGCTGTACCCTCTCCAGCAGTTCCTTGTCCTTCTTGAGCCAGGGATCCCAGAACTGGACCCAGTGCTCCAGATGGGGCCTCTCCAGGGCAGAGCAGAGGGGGAGGATGACCTCCCTCCACCTGCTGCCCACACTCTTCTTGATGCCCCCCAGTGCATGATTTCCAGTGATTTGGTGCAACTTCTGGCAGGAAGCAGCGTGATGATCAAATTCACTTTGCTCCTGCCAACAGTCTCTTCCTTCCCCACCCTCCATCTTGTGTTTCAGGCAGAAATGCGCCTGCAGGACCAGCAGCTGGCGAGGCAGCTCATGCGTCTCCGCAGTGACATCAACAAGCTGAAGATTGAACAGACCTGCCACCTGCACCAGCGCATGCTCAACGATGCCACCTACGAGCTGGAGGAGAGGGACGAGCTCTCCGACCTCTTCTGCGACTTCCCCCTTGTGAACTCCTTCAGCCTCTCCACGCCTCTGAAGCTCATCGGGGTCACCAAGATGAACATCAACTCTCGCCGGTTCTCGCTGTGCTGAAGGGGGGAAGGAGAGAGAAGGATGGGGGAGAAAGAGAGAGAGAACTGGGTACCACCAGGGTTCTCTCTGCCTGACCACTGGGTGGAAAAAGGCCAAGGAGGAGCAGAGGGAACAGAAGCAAACAGGGAACCCACAGCTGGTCTTGGTGACAGGGTAGAGCAGCAGAGCTGGGCACTGGGACGGCCCAGAAACGCTCATGGAGAAGACAGGACCTGCATGGAGGAAGCGTGGAGAGCATCTGAACCCAACATGAGCACTTAGCCTGCTCCTTCACAAAGTCCCTTCTTCTCTTCCCCCCACAGTAACTGACCCAGCTCCAGTGTGGTGGTTTGTACTCAAAAATCAGAGGAGGAGGTCAAACGTCAGCCACAGAGCAAGGCCAAATCCCTTTTCCCTTCCCCTTTACCTCCTCCCAGGCTAGACCATCCAGGTCACTCTCCTCCCTGGATGTCTCCTCGGACATCAATCCTCAGCCTCTGCTGGCCCGAGCATGGTGTCCATTGGGTTATTTTGGGTGGGAAGATGATGTCTAGTGGAAAGGAGTCCACCCAGCAGGTGAGGCTCCATGGGTTAAAGGGTACACCACCCCAAGGAGACTCTCCTCCCTGGATGTCTCCTCGGACATCGATCCTCAGCCTCTGCTGCCCCGAGCATGGGGTGCACTGGGTTATTTTGGGTGGGAAGCCGATGTCTAGTGGAAAGAAGTCTGCCCAGCATGTGAAGCTCCGTGGGTTAAAGGGTACACCACCCCGAGGACTGGTAAGAAGATGTGTTTGTTGACTTGCTGCATTGTGTCCAGTGTGCTCTATCTCATTTCTGCCTGTGGTATAGATGATGGACATATCATGGACATATTTTTATAGAGACTCCAGCCAGCCAGAAGTCACCTGTGTGCCCTAGAAGTTATACCCAGAGCAATACGTGTTCCTGATCTTGTTGTCAGCAGTGGCCACAGGACACCGTGTGGTTACCCCCACAAGCAGTAAGGCAAAGGAGGTAACTCACCCCCAGGACATCTCATATCAGAGAAGTCAGCCCCAAACAGCAGCACCAGCAAATCCTGGATCCTCTGTAGCAACACACATCCATCAGAGAAGGGAACTGCAAGAGGAGAAAAGGGACCTTTGTGTAAGGAACATGCAGAGTGACTCTGGAATTAAAGGGAGAAATATTGCTGCAACGAGCTTTGGACCTCCAGCAAACACAAGGGATTCCCTACCTGCTTGGATGGTATTTTTTTCTTGCCTTTCAGTGCACGCAGCTGCACACCCACTTGTAGGTGGCACGGAGAGCAGAGACACCCATGGTGTAGCCCAGCAAAGGCAGGGACACATGCAGTCTAGTCATGGCCATCTTGGGACACCTGCTACCCAAGACAGCCTGTCTAGAAGGAACGTGGGTGCCTCTGGGCTCTCCCTCCTGTGCTGACACCTCTCCTGACCATGTCAGAGTGGTGCAATCTCTTCAACCCATCGCCCCAGCCCAGCTCTGCTCTTTGCCACGTGCCTGAGCAGAGAGCCTGGTGGCTGAGTGGATGTGACGGTGTCCACGTAGCACCAGCCCAAGCCCTGGAGATACAAGCCAGCGTTGAGCTGAAAGCTGTGTGGCTGTGTTGACGTGCCTGTACCTGACTGTGTGCCTGTAAGCTGTGTGTGTGCATAAGTTGGTGTGTGTGTGTGTGTGTGCACGTGAGCCTGCAGGATGCCTCTCTCTGGAGGGTGAATGGTGGACCCACGTCTTGGTGATGTGAACCAGAAGCCAATGAGACTTTGCCTTGCCTGGGAAGGTGCAGAGAGGCTTCAAGACTTGGGGTTTCCACAGAGTGCTAAGGTCAATGCAGAGAAGCTGAATAATTTGCCTGCCTCCACAGGTCTCCCTGGGAAGGAACACATTAACATCACAGAAGAGTTCACAGCCACACAGGCTGGGGACTGGCAGGGGACTCTGGAGCTGAGTTCAGTCCTCTATCTCTCATAGTACATAACCCTTCAGTGATGCCTCCTCTTCCACTTCAGAGCTCACTGAGTAACACTTCTTTTGGCAAAGGGAAGAGGTATTTTGGCCACTGGAGCTCTATCTGTACCAGTAAGATGATCAGTTCCATGCCAGGGGGCTGAATCTTGTGCTGCCCAGGTGGTGAGGGATTAATTGAGTTGTGGCCAGACTGTCAGGTGGTCTCTAGACAAGACAACCAGCCACGGTGTCATTTAGTTTTCTATTAGAGAAATAGCCTTATTTCCACATGGACATCTTGAAAAAGAAAAAAAAAATCTCATTAAAATTCTTCTTTGTTTACTTTTTTAATTAAAAAAAAAATCAGTTCATGTTCCACATGTTGATTTGCAGAGGCATTTTCAGTCAAAATGACAACTTTTGAGTGAAAATAATGCCTTGGAAAAGGTTCTCTCTAGGATCAGCTGGAGGGTGAACTACAGGGTGGACCTGCCTTTGGGCTCCTGTCTGGTAGCCCAATGCAGGAGGTTAATACAAGCACAGTCTTAGGAGGTCATTATACGTGGCATTAGAAATATCAGCCGTCTGGGTTCCAGACATGTATTTTCTGCATTAGGGGGAATGGGGGATGGTTATAACTGCCAGCTGTTCATTGAAATGCACAATTTTTTTAATTATAAAATTATGTCTGTATTGATTTCTGCCTCTCGTCTCTCATTGTGCTCAATGGCTCCAGCTCTGCCTGGAGAGCGATCGGGGAAGCATGACTCTGGTGTCTTCAAGGTTTACATGTGTGTAAGGTTTTCCATCAGGTTTATCTACCCTTATACATCACTGGGACACCCCTATGGCTCCATCACCAATTACTCTTCATTGGAGTCTGAAGGACATAGGAAGAAATTAAGATGGGAGCGCTTATTACATAATTGGACAAAAATGTATGGAAAAGAAAGCGAAAAAAAAAAACCCAAAATAGGGAAGAAAAATAAATAGAATTGTGCTGATTTTTGCTGAACTTTGTTTACAAAGAAGAGAACCATCCAAAGGTTGGTGGCCCTTTAGAAAAATGAGTTCAAGTCACTTGTCCCACCACGGAATTCCCAGAAAAGAGCCTCCAGGCCTCAGCTGTCCGCAATGTGATGAGTTGTGCTCTCACATGCCAATTCCTGTCCTCATACAAGTGGCCTAGAGCCACATTCCCTTTCCTAGATGACCTACGATGCCTGCAGAGAAAGCCTGGTGGAAACCAAGGTTGACACTTCTGCGGTCCATCCTGTGAATACCCTTTAATGTGACCACACGTGTGGACCACTGAATCAAGGCCATGGTGTCTCCATCTGGAGCACCAGCAGCATCATGGAGGTGGCTGCTTGTCCTGTTTGCAGCCGGGATCTACTGGACATTGATTCAAGGGTTGTCCACAGCCACCCAGCAGTGAGACATGTTCCTCACCAAAATTAAAAAGCATGTTTGAGACTAGCCCATGTGAATAATTAACTGCATTTTTAATTTAGATGGCCAGACTAGAAGACCATGGATTTCTCCAGACTAACTAGAACACCAAATTTCACATTATTTTTTCTTGCCCCAAAAAGCTCATGTACACGCAAATTTTGGATGGTGGAGTCACTCTATCACCTTAATTGGTTACATTTTGCTTTTACTTAAAACAGTTCTAAAAAATTTAAGTTAAAACTGAAACCATTAACACCTCATTTGCATTCAAACATTGTCCAAACATTGTCCCTGAAATAGCCTTTATGAAACTTTTCCACTTTCTCTGTTTCAGCGAGTCTCAAGCCATTCATCCAGCTAAACCCAGACCCTGAAGGTTTAGTCCACCCACAGCTCTATACATTTTTCAGCATGAAGAAATCTGTTAAAAAACGAATTGGCCCAGCTTGATTTCTGACTTCCTTTGGGTCAATTAAGAGGTAGCACAGAGCAATTTTACACATTTTAACTCATGGTCAACTGGCCGCTCTCCCAGGCACGGTCTGCCACAACGTACTAATGGAGAAGACCTTGCTCCTCTGCCACAGACCCAACGCAGCAACGCTGAAAAGGGTCATTGTTCCTGGGAGAGTGTCTCATTTCTCACTCTTCTGGCACTGCAAAGTGCTATCGTATAATCAGAGAGTGATTTGTATTTTGAGATCTCCCACAATTGCCTCCCTACAACCCTTAATGAAATTCAATAGAGATGTTATCATCACAGAAATGCCCCAAAAGGGTCCTGCTTACTCCAGGAAAGCCAGGGAATGACACGTTTAAGGATTTAAAGACTGAATCTTCACATTGCTTCTGCTACACAGTATTTCAGCTATCGCAGTATAACCTCTTTCATATATATATATGTGGAAAAAACACCCAGCTGGAGTATTCTCAGCACCTTGTGTTTTGTTTTTTTTTTTCACAGGCTGACACTGTCTGCTAAATGGGTTTTATTTTAGATCAAGGAAGAAAGAAGGGGTGGGAGGAAAAAAAAAAAAAGGCTTGTAAGGAGGAGGTGGCAGGCTACACACCAAACCCAGAATCAGATTTGCTTCCCTCGCAGCAAATTTTACAACCCAGTGCTATATTTGAGGAGATACACACAAGGGAGTGATGCATCCCAAAACTCTGGGGAGAAATCACCACTTGGGTGTTGCTTACAACCCTGCCGAGATCCAGAGGAGCCGTGCAGTCCCCCAAAGTAGGAGTGGCATCAAAAGATGTGCAAACTGCTCCCAGAAATCCTTACCGGTCCCCACGCTACATGGGAAATCTGGAGAGCTGAGTAATACCAGCACCTCCCTCCCCTCTCTGATCTGGGGACAACTCTGAGCCTTGGATGGTCACATTCGTGTGGAACTGCAAGAGTTGGATGTAGTTTTTAAGGTAAGTGGTGAGATCTGGGATAAACTCTTGATTTCAGGCTTTCACCTCTCATCTTCTCAATCTATTTTATGAAGAAGGACCGAGAGAGCAGCTCCGTGCACCCATCATTCGGAGCAGCCGAGACCTGGACTTGCCCCATCCCTGGAAAAGGAGGACGGTGCAGAGGTCCTGAGAGCCAAACCTTGGGTCAGCCAAGCCATCCTGGTCACCATTGCCTCCAGCATCTCAATGTGCTGCAAAACACCTTGAGTTAGCCATTGTGACAGGTCTGTGACGCCCCAGCATTGAGATGTTGGTGGAAGATGCTCAGTGCTTCACTGCTGTCCTTTCTCTGACACCTCCTCTCCCTGGGGGCTGTCTCAGCCCCCCCACTGCTGCCTGTCCCTCAGAGGAGGGGGAGGAGGAGGACGGGGGTTCTTACACAATGTTTTTGTTCCACTGATGACTTCCCTCTGCCAGTTGGAACAGGCGGCTCATAAATTGCAGCTTTCTGGAGGGGTTTCAAGAGCTTTGCATTCTTAGATCATTGTCTCTCCTACCCGGGAACAATGAGGGTAGGAAGGAGCTGCTCCAAAAATGCCATGTGCTACGAGGGGATTTCTTTCGGATGGGGATTGCTTGGGAGGGCAGAGGGAGGTTCCCCCAACCACATTAACTTGCAGCCTGGGTAACTAAGGAGGCAACTCAACGGGAAGCAGGAATGCTGTTAACCGTGCTCTGCAGAAATCTGCAAAGGTCAGCTCCTTCCTACCACCCC